TCCATATCGAATCTGACACCTGTATAAGGATTTGTATGTAGTTCTATAATCAGTGTACTTATGAATTTGCGTCCGCGCTAATGTACTTATATGTACATTATACAATAGATTGTTAATTAGTAATAATTAATTTTTTTTATAAATATGATCTATATTTAAGTGTGGTGAAAGTTCCAGGTTGTCCAGGTTCAATCCTCGTTGAATTAAAACATAAAAAATGTTTTTTTATTTTTGTCAATTTAGAATTAAAAGTTAATTTTTATTGCATATTTTATTGAATATTAATTAACATATAAAAATATTCTTCGCTAATTTTAGTTTATCTTTATTCCGACTGCTACTGCTGTAATGTGGTTATTACAACATTATTACAGCAAAATAGTTGTACAGCCAAATGGTTGCGACATCGTTTTTAAAGTCTAAAAATGTTGTCCCATTTTTGCTGTTATAACTTTGCCAAAACATATCAATGATGGTGTGACAAAAGCTGTCTTAGACAAAAATGCTGCGGTTTAAGCTGCGAAAATGTTATCGCAGCTGTTTTAAAACCTCATGTGCTACTTGGGTATATTGAAGATAGTAAAAGAAAAAATATAGAGAATACGGTCATGAACAGTTTCGTGAACGGATTGCCATCCGAGCTACTTATTCGAGTTATGTACGATTCACGCATCGCACGAGCGAAATTGCCTTAAATATTCGCGCCAAACCTGCAGGCGTCCGCGCGTCTTCGTTTCCTTCCGCGTTCGCACGGCAACGGCCGCTGGGCCCTCACCCCCCATTTTTTCGCTTGTTTTTCCGTTGTTCCCCTCTTGCGTCAGCGACGCGCACGATCCTGCAGTTCGACACCAACCACGAATGTCGCCGGTTCTATCTCTCTGCTGTATTCACTTGTAATAAAGTGTTCCTAACGAAACCTAAATAGTGGTAGCCAATTTCCACGACCCCGCCGCGAGATCCATAAGTATCCCGCACGCGAGGAAGCGAATTATTTCGTACATCGATTTGGTCCTTCGAGCCGGATTGCGCCACAAGCAGTCCTACGGATACGCCCCACGAGCGTTCCGACAGCCACACCGACATCGAGCATTGCCATCAGGGCGAGCAGAGAGACGAGTCCGCACGTTTCGTGCGCAGCAAGACTTCCGGCACATTGGCAATCGCCACAGCAACTCAAGGGCGGCCATTTCAGCTACGCATTCGGGGCAAATACACGTCGAACTTCACCATCGTCACGTAGTGACACGCATCGGGGAATTACGCCAGCCAGACGTATTCTCACGCAACCTCTGGACGAGCAGCCAAGTCAGCCCGTCACCGAGCGCCAGCCTCTCGTCGGGTTCCAGCCTGTCGCCGGCTTCCAGCCCGTCGCCGAGCGCCAGTCTCTCGTCGGGTTCCAGCCTTTCGCCTGGTTCCAGCCTGTCGCCGGGTTCCAGACCATACCGCCGGGGCAGCCTACCAGCAAGGGCATCCGCACGAGCATCATCGGCCGTCGAGATTCAGCGCTCATCGGCAGTCCCCCCCCTCACCCCTTCTCATCGAGCGGCGCCGATACGGAACGCGAGGCCGATCCCGAGGTAACTGTTTACGTTTTCCGTCGATCAGGATTCAGCATATACTCGTACGGTTTGTTGCCTCAGTCTCACAATGTCGTCCGATATCTCAGTTTTGCGCAAACAGCGCAGCACTCTAAAAGCTTCATGTACGCGGATAAGGACATACGCGGATTCAATCACCGAGCTTACGCCCGACGCTCTTGCACAATTGGAGGAGCGCAGATCGCGTTTATCAGAGTACTAGGTGACTTATGGTGCCCTACAATCCCAAATAGAGATGCTAGATGAAAGCGATAAGGACAGAGATACCTTCGAGAGTGCATATTACTCGCTCGCCGCTAAGATACGCAGCATCGCAAGCCAGCGCTCCTCCAATGACGCAGACGCGTCGAGTTCCTCTTCCGATGCGGGCCGATCGGGCGCATCCGATCCGGTCGCACAGATACGGCTGCCGAAGTTAGAGCTACCCTCTTTTAATGGAAAGTATGATGAGTGGTTGCCTTTTGCAAACATGTTCAAATCAGTTATCAATAATAATATCGTTAACTACTATGCAGAAATTTCAGTATCTAAGAGGGGCGGTCTCTGGCGACGCGGCCAGCGTTATTCAGTCATTGGAAATATCCGATAAGAATTACGAAGAAGCATGGAATCTTTTGAGGGAACGTTACGACAACACTCGCGTAATCGTATACACTCACATTCGGAAAATCTTAGAGATACCGGTAATGCCAAAGGAAAACGTTCTCGAGCTGCGAAAGATGGCGGACAATACCTCGAAGCATATTCGAGCGCTTGTTTCCCTGAAAGTCTCGGCCGACAAATGGGACGACATTCTCGTGTGCATTTTAACCTCAAAATTGGACGCTCTCACAGCTCGTGAATGGCATCATTCCTTAAAAGATTCCTCATTGCCTTCTTTAAAACAATTTTTAAGTTTCATCACTCGGCGGTGCCAGGCCTTAGAGGGCAATCAAAAACTTGCCCCAGCCACCGCTACCTCCCGGTTAGATTCAAAGCGACAATCAGCAGCTCACGCGGCCACAATAAATGCTAAGTGCGCCTATTGCCGTGGAGATCATCCCATTTACTATTGCGCCGACTTTTTAAAGTTGTCAGTAGACAAGCGTATCAAAGAAGTCCGAAAACGCAAATTGTGCGTCAATTGCCTGCGCGCAGCGAGTCACACTTCCGCGCAATGCAATTCGCGCTCTTGTCAGACGTGCGACAGCAAGCACAACACTCTTCTTCATTTAGAGACCTCTAAAGATGTCAGCAAGGACGTCGTTTCAAAAAAATCGAATTCCGAAGAAACCGCGTCCCAGACCACGGTAGCAACACATAGCGCCGTGCAGAATTGTAATGACGACGTGTTACTTTCAACGGCCGTCATATACGCCGTCGACCGCCAAGGTTCAGCCAAAACATGTCGCGCGCTACTTGATTGTGGCTCACAAGCCAATTTTATTACCAAGAAATTCTTCGAAACGTTGAACCTAAAATCGCGTCCGCTGAATATCTCCATAAAAGGTATAAATCGGGTAACTTCAACCGCGCATCACGTTGCGACATTGACCATTCAATCGCGCGTAAATTCCTTCGCGACTCCCATCGACTGCATAATTACCAACCAAATCACAGGCCAGTTACCTGCGTTAACGATAAATCGCAAGAACATAGCAATACCGCACAATATAAAATTAGCCGATCCGCAATTTCACGTATCCTCGGAAATCGACCTGTTGATTGGCGCCGATTTGTTTTGGCAATTACTATGCGTGGGCCAGATTAAGTCGCTCGAGGACTGTCCGATGCTTCACAAGACGGTCTGGGGTGGGTACTAGCAGGCAGGTATCCCATGAGTCATTCGAAATGTCGATCCGTCAATAACTTTCACGCTTCCGTCAGCAACGCGGAGCTCGACAATCAATTAAAAGAATTTTGGCGATTAGAGGATGCACAAGCATTACTCAGCAAGCCGCTATCACCAGACGAGCGCCGGTGCTCTGAACACTTCGCAAAGAACGTAGCACGCGATACAAGTGGGCGTTTCGTCGTCAAGCTTCCGGTCATACGCGAAAAATTAAACTTGATCGGAGAATCGCGCGCCACAGCCCTCCGTCGTTTTTACTGCGTCGAAAGGAGGCTAAATCGCGATCCTAAATTAAAAGCATCATATATACAGTTCATGCATGAATATGCCGCGTTAGGGCATATGAAGTTAATGCGCGAGGCAATCGAAACAAATGGCATTCCGCCCTATTACCTCCCGCATCACCCTGTCATAAAGGGTACGAACGAAGCCGCGAAGATACGGGTGGTTTTCGATGGATCGTGCAAGGGATCATTAGGCAGTTCCTTGAATGACGCTCTTTTAATCGGTCCGGTAGTCCAACAAGACTTAATTTCAATCGTAATACGATTTCGTACCCTGCGCTACGTCTTCTGTGCAGACATCATAAAAATGTACAGACAGATTGTAGTCCACGAATCGCAGCGGCATCTGCAAAGAATATTTTGGCGGGCAGACCCATTGGGAAAGGTGCTCGTATACGAACTCGCAACCGTAACCTACGGCACTTCATCTGCGTCTTTTCTGGCTACAAGATGCCTTACATATCTCGCGGAATTGGAGGCGCATAATTTTCCCACCGGGTCCAAACACGTTATCAACGACTTTTACGTCGACGACTGTTTGTCCGGGGCAGATTCTTTGGCTCACGCAAAATTAATTAGGGACGAAATCATAGCCTTGCTTCAAAAGGGATCGTTCCAGTTGAGCAAATGGGCATCAAACTCGTCCGAGCTTCTCGAATCTGGCCGACACGATACCTGTAGGTTAATTGAATTCGACAAAAATCCGGAGTCCCGCATCCTAGGCATCCGATGGAATCCCACAAGCGACTACTTTCATTTTTATGTCACGACACCCTCACTTTCCAACTCTGTCACGAAGCGCACAATTTTATCGGAAGTATCCCGGCTTTTTGACCCTCTCGGGCTGCTGGACCCCGTCATAGTGATCGGCAAGCTCATTATTCAAGAGCTGTGGCAACTAAATGTAAGTTGGGACGAAACAATTCCCTCTACCACTCACACTAAATGGTCGCGACTCAAAAATCAGTTGAGTATCCTCAATGATCTCCAAATACCGCGACTCACAAAATTCACCACGAGCTCAAAACGCCTTCAAATTCACGGGTTCTGCGACGCCAGTCAGATAGCGTATGGCGCGTGCATATACATACGCAGCGAAGTCGGCGACCGCACGTATCGTACCGAGCTCCTATGCTCACGGTCTCGCGTCGCGCCTTTAAAAGCGGTCTCGCTTCCGCGTCTTGAGTTATGCTCTGCGCTGTTACTGGCTCAACTTTATGAGAAGGTCCGCTCTTCAATAGACATTTCACAGATACCTTCATTCATGTGGTCGGATTCCACGATTGCGCTACATTGGATTTCTTCCTGTTCCCGCAAATGGTCCGTCTTTGTGGCCAACAGGGTAGGAGAAATCCAGCGTACTACCAACATCGCCGATTGGCGGCATGTATCTTCTGAAAACAACCCTGCTGACATTCTGTCTCGCGGGGCGGAGCCTCAAGAGCTCCTATCGTCATTCTTGTGGTGGCACGGCCCTGAGTTTTTGCAACATTGCGAATCATCGTGGCCCCTTTCAAACTCTCAACCTCCGGAGGCTGATATACCTGAGCAAGTCAAAAATGTTCACGTAACAGTTGCAGCACTGAATTGCCCCATAAACAAATTGCTCAATAGATTCTCAGACCTTAACCTGATATGTAGAATTATCGCTTACTGTCTCAGGATTTCTAAGCATCACAAATCAAAATACACCTGCACGAGCCAATTAATCTCAGCAGGTGAAATTCAAGCGGCGCTCCGCGCACTGTGTGTACACGTGCAAGGCGAGGCTTTTTCAAATGAATTGAAATCCTTACGTATAAACGGCATGGTCGGTTCCGCGAGCAATATGCTGCCCCTATCTCCGTTTCTAGATTCGGACGGTTTGATACGCGTGGGAGGGAGGCTAACAAATTCTCAACTACCATACTCCGCGCGTCATCCCATCGTTTTGCCAAAACATAGCCGGCTCACTCACCTCATAGTCGAGTTCGAACATAATCGCAACTTGCATGCCGGAGTGCAAGGCACGATCGCTGCCGTTCGACAGCGCTTCTGGCCCCTGTCACTAAGATCTGTCACTCGTCACATAATTCGAAAGTGCATACCCTGCTTTAAGGTCAAGCCAGCCTCGTCGGAGGCAATAATGGGGGATCTCCCGGCAAATAGAGTCAGGCCCTCGAGACCATTTTCTTACGCCGGTGTTGATTACGCCGGTCCAATTTTTATCCGCGAGGGCAAAAGGCGCAACGCTCGAAATATTAAAGCTTATATAGCCGTGTTTGTATGTTTCGCGACCAAGGCGGTGCATCTCGAGCTCGTTGGAGACCTAACCACGGACGCCTTCCTCGGCGCTCTCAAGCGATTTCTGTCCCGACGCGGAAAAGCCATAACCCTCTACTCCGACAACGGCACCGCCTTCGTTGGCGCAGCTCGCGAATTAAAAGAGATACATCAGTTTCTCTCGCAGGACGACGTTCAGTCGGACATTAGAAAATTCCTGTTGGAATCGCATATTTCCTGGGAATTTATTCCTCCCAATGCCCCGCATTTCGGTGGGCTTTGGGAGGCGGCCGTCAAATCGGCAAAGCATCACATGTATCGTATTATAGGCAACGCACACCTGTCCTACGAAGAAATGCTAACATTGTTATGTGAGATTGAGGCAATATTAAACTCGCGACCAATAACGCCGCTATCAGCGGACCCCAACGACATTAATTGCTTAACACCAGGGCATTTCCTGATCGGCGGGGAATTGAACAGTTTTCCTCGTCTAGACGTCACCGACGTGAACGAGAATCGTCTCAGTAGATGGCAACGGGTGGAGTTACTGCGTCAAAATTTTTGGAAGCGCTGGAGCACTGAATATTTGTCTCAATTACAGCAAAAGTCAAAGTGGATATCTAGCAAGGGTGCTCAGTTGCAGGCAGGTCAACTCGTGTTAATCAAGCATCAAGGGTTGGCCCCGCTTTTATGGAAGACGGGCCGAATTCAAGATCTGCACACCGGCTCCGATGGTGTGACTAGATCGGCTACCGTGAAAACCTCCAATGGTGTACTAACGCGTCCCTTGTCCAAGCTGTGCATCCTACCAATAGAGAGCTAATTGCTCACGCGAAGCATACGATTTCATTTACCATATTTAGATTAGTTGCGTCTCTATTTAGATTAGTTGCGTCTCTATTTAGATAAGTTGCGTTTCTATTCATTATACTTTCTTTATGTCACATGCGCTTAGTTATAAGTTTGTTAACTTCATTAATTTCTAAGTCTACCTTGTTATATATCTTTATTGCGTTCTAATCAATATGTACGTTTCGACGGTGGATCCACGATTTACCTCAGATTATAATTACTCGCTCTCCCGTCCTGACTCATTAGGAGTACGGATCTGCATAACTGCCCTTCTATTTATGGCGGTGTTTGTAAAGTTGAAAGCCAGGTCTTTCAAGGCGGGCAGTGTACGATTCACGCATCGCACGAGCGAAATTGCCTTAAATATTCGCGCCAAACCTGCAGGCGTCCGCGCGTCTTCGTTTCCTTCCGCGCTCGCACGGCAACGGCCGCTGGGCCCTCACCCCCCATTTTTTCGCTTGTTTTTCCGTTGTTCCCCTCTTGCGTCAGCGACGCGCACGATCCTGCAGTTCGACACCAACCACGAATGTCGCCGGTTCTATCTCTCTGCTGTATTCACTTGTAATAAAGTGTTCCTAACGAAACCTAAATAGTGGTAGCCAATTTCCACGACCCCGCCGCGAGATCCATAAGTATCCCGCACGCGAGGAAGCGAATTATTTCGTACAAGTTAAAATAGAGAATTGTAATACTCTAGAAGAATCGATCGAGACCGCGATCCAACTTTCAAAAACCATAGAAGCCGAAAGAGCACGTAAGCGTCCTCTTGTCATGAATCCTCCTGCCCGTGCTGATCCCCAGTATAATATCCTACGACCCCCTCGCCCCGCGATACCTCCGGAAGGTCCTCGCCCATTTATTAAACCCTTGATTCCCGGTCAACCAGGACCAAACTTCCCTACCACTAAGGTGTGTTATTATTGTAAAGTACCTGTGATAGTTGTCGAAGAATTTTAATTTTTGTAGTACTAAGCGAATGGGCGCTGTGCTAAGAGATGGCGCAGCAGTGAGGTGGAGAGAGGCGGAAGGGGATGGGCATGATGGCGACGGGAGTGAGTCGATGTAATCGTTCGATGTAACCCGAATAAATTATCACGACTGTTACAATATCAGAAGTGGGATTCAGCCCGAGTAGTGTGACGACATCGAAAGTCTGAGAAGCCCTCAAGTGGATGTGGCGCTCAAAACCGGCGTGGTAGCGTTGCTCGATCGGTGGAATCTGATAACCTTTCGGCTGAGGCCCGAGGAGTGTGGCCATTAGGTGGTGCATGAGCGGCATTGCGATCACCTGATGACAAGGGATTCCGCGATCACGGGAGAGAGGCGCGCACAGGCTAGTGCCACGGAAGAGAGAGAAGCACAAGTTTTTCCAGTACAATCAGACTGAAGTAAATTCGTGGACTTGATATCGAGTGAAAGAATTCCGTAAAATGGCGAGTAACACTTCCGACCGGCGAACACGCGGAAAAGGCGAAAGCGCGG